AATATGCGGTCATTCTGTGCAAACAAAGACTCCAACAATATTGTACGAAGATAATGCTGCTTGCATAACACAATTAAAGGGAGGATATATCAAAGGAGATCGAATAAAGCATATTTCACCTATGTTCTTTTTCATACATGATCTTCAATAAAATGGTGAGATAAATGTTCAACAGATTCTTTCGAGTGATAATCTTGCAGATTTATTCACTAAGGCATTGCCAACGTCAACATTTGAGAAGCTAAGATATAAGATTGGGGTGTGTTGTCTACAAGATATCAAATAAGTTTTCATATGGGGGAGCAACTACGCATTGTACTCTTTTTCCTTAGCCATGGTTTTTTCCCATTGAATTTTCCTAGTAAGGTTTTTAATGAGGCAACACTCAAAGCGTATTACAAGATGTATGTACTCTTTTTCCTTCACTAAGTTTTTTTCCTCTGGGTTTTTCTTAGTAAGGTTTTAACTTGGCACATCATCTATGAACATCCAAGGGGGAGTGTTATAAATGCATTAATGTGGATGTCATTTGTAACTCACTTCAAAGCTCATCGGTAACTCTCTTTGAAGTTCACGAATGCAATAAATGAACACTTTAATTCATGCAACTTTAAAGAGACATTTTGTACTATAAGTAGGTGATGGTTACTTTATTAAAGGATCGATCGAAAAGTACAGAAGAAAATAAGAAAGCATTCTCCCACATATCTTGTTTATATATTTATTCTCTTAGATAATTTCATATTGCTAATATTTTACAATAATATGATTAATTTTAAAATTTCAAATAATCTACCATAAAAAATTTCCTATCATTAGTGTACGTAAATTGAACACAAAAAATATTTGATATTTCTATTGAATTGGTTCGAAAATTTTAAAACTATCTATTTAAAATATAGTGAGTATCTTAATTTACTTTAGTTTCATTTAATTTATCTATCCATTTTAATTATTAATTTTTGTTTTTATGCTACCTAATTAAATTATTTTATTTTCATTTAAATATTTAATACATTTTAAAATCATTTTTGTTTCTTTTTATATTTATTTTTCGTGCTAAAAGTGAAGGTGCTAATGTAATATAAATTGATTTAAAAGGTGTGTCCCACTATATTTAGATAATATGATTACTTATAATATTTATCCTGCTTTTTATGATAAGAAGTACAGGTAGCATCATTTGATTGGGTATTTGGGAAATTCATACTTTAGAAGCAGAAAGTATAACTATTTTAAGCTGATAATTTTACTAAAATGACAAAACTGTCCTTGGTCATCCTGGACTTTATTCTTATATATATATATTATGAAATAATGTTAAAGGGTACTTCCTTTGGTTCATATTAAATGGACATAAAATATTGAAAACTAAATTATTGAATTGAATTTAAAAAAATGGATAATTTGGTAATTCAATATTTGGTATTATATTTAAGAGAAAAATTTTAAATTTATGGTATGCGGATTTCATAGTATCATTTGATATTCGGTGTATATTAAAAACTAAATTATTTACTTTATGAAGGTCATATATCAACATGTTAATTAGTGATCAGTAAAAGACTAATGAGAAAATTAAAGAATAAGCATAACTTCATAAGCAATCCAAATACATATGTTTTTAGTTTTATTTATTTATTTTTCTTGATGTCCTTTTACTTGGTGATTTTTTATTAAATCGTGACTTCACATAAAAAAAATAGAATTGATTAGAGAAATATTATTAACTTTGTAATATAATTGGCTATAATTTCAACATTATTTTGAATACCGTATCAACCGAAATTTAATTTACTTATTACCAAATTATAAAATCAAATTAAAATTTTGATATTCAACATCTATTTTTAACTACTAATCATCGAATAACCAAACTCAAAATTTGAAAATCTCAAATCAAATATTAAATAAACTCTTACAATTATTGAGATTGAATAAAAAGAAAAAGTGAATTTATAAATTATTAATGGGGATAATAACTCAATCTTAGCTAACTTTTTTCGACACCTAGGATGTGTTTGGTATGAAGGAAAATGTTTTCCTGAAAAACAAGTAGATTTTGGACTTATTTTCTCATTTTTGGTTAGTGAGTAGAAAATATTTTTCGGAATAATTTTTAGTGTTTAATTTATGAATGAAAAATATTTTTGAGGAACAATCTTTTATTTTTACTAGAATAGAAATAATTTATAAAAGTGAAAATATTTTTTAAAAATAATTTTTTTTGGGAGGGGGGTGTAGGGGGGAGGGGGTGAAAAATATAAATTTGAAGTTGATAGTATTTTTAAAAAGCAAAATTAATTTTTGGGGGTGGGGGGCTGGTCGGGGGGGGGGGGACAGTAGTTTAAAAATAAAAATTTGAAATTGAAATTATTTTTAAAAAGCAAAATTAATTTTTGGGAGAGGGGGATTGGGGGGAGGGTGGTCAGGGATCGGGAAAAATATAAATTTTTGAAATTAAAAATATTTTCTTAAAAATTGATGTTTTTTCCAAAAAAAAAAATGTAATTTGAAATTGGAGGAGAGCTTTGAAAAAGGTTTTCCTTAACTTTTTAAGGGAAATCATTTTCCTTAATTTTGAGGAAAATGAGTTGATTTGAAAAAAACATTTTCCAAAACTTTTGCCCCATATTTTCCTTCGTACCAAACACACTCTTAATCTTTAATAAATTAATTTCAGCTAACGACAGAGGAAGCTACCTACTTTGACTTGTTTATTATTTTCAATGGAAATTATTGTCATGTTTTTTCTTCTTCTTTGATGTGCTGAGCTAATTAGCAGCTAACACCTACACTTGCGTTTGTTTTAGAAACTAATCCATTCTTTTTATTTTTATTTGTTATTGTTTAACTGGAAAATGATCATTGACAAAAATAATTATTAACATGAGTATTTTGCTAAAATCTCTATTAAATTATCTTTAGTACTGCTCCATTCATTTTATTTGTCATTTTATTGATTCTAAATAATTAATATTTATTATTTATAATTTTGATATATTTAATTTATAAGAATATTATTCATTATCATCACATCTACACACAACTCTACTATCACTTCTCACACTTTCACATGATCCTCTTCGCTCACCCACACACACTCCTACACACTATATATATACAGATACAAAAATTAACAAAAAAAAAATCATTTCCTCACTTCCAACACTATGATCAACAAAACACAAAAATTGAGGTGTTCTAATGAGGTTCGGTCTATATTTTAGCAGCATTCAACTTTAACTTATCTTGTTAATTTATTTATGAAATTTGATGTAATCTTATGATAAGCTTTCTAACATTTTGTTACATCCATAATTTAATTAAAATGAGTATTGAGTTAAAGAGTTATATCTCTTATTAATAATTTGATTGAAATGAGTATTGAGTTAAAGAATTACATCTCTTATTAATGAATAAATGTAGCTTTAATTGATGATTGTTTTCTGTTTATTTATTTTTATTCGTTAGTTGTGACCTCTTAAAAATGAAAAGGTCATAGCATCGTTCTTCCCTTCATTTACATAATAATGATAAAGTAGAAATTGTTAGGCTAAAACAAATAAGTAAAAAATTGTTGTTGTTTTATTTTATCAATAAAAAATGATATTTATTTTTTACAATTCGGTATCGTTTTGTTGTATTAGAACGTGTATCCTTAGTTTTGTCTAACTTTAGAATAAAAAATAAAAATAAAATATGCGTAGGCTTTATTTTAACATTAATTTTAAGAGTAAATAAAAATAAAACAATACAAAATAATCCAAATTTTTACATTGAATCCTAGAAGTTTAGATTTATTTGATTTGATTTGATTTTGTTTAATATTTTTTTATAACATTAGATAGGTTTTAGGCATGCCAAAAATAAATATTGGTTTTAAATAAGAATGTGGTTACACATCTTTTTTTGAAACACTTAAAAGAAATTCAAGGATGTGGTGATACACTTTGACAAAATTATTCTAAGAAATATTTTATTTAATTAAAATCAAGAGGTGTAAATTGAGATTTTTAGGTGTGATGAACTCGAGAGGGGAAAACAGTTATGTCTCCAAATGTCAAGATCGAGAATATAGTTATGCATCCGGTTTAAGACTAACAAAAATTCAACAATTAAAAAATAAGCAAACCATGACACTTAGACACAAATTATCCAAAAATATATCAAGATAAGTATAAGTCAATAAAAGCGATCGTGCTAGAACTACTGGACTCGAGGGATGCCTAATACCTTTCCCCCGGTCAACAGAATTTTGTACTCGAATTCTAGTTCGCAGACCGAAACTAAAGAGTCAGTTCCTTTTGATTAGGGATTAACCAAAAAGTGACTTGGTACACCACAACTCAATTTCAAGTGGTGACTCTAAAAAAATAAAATAATCCCGTAATCAATAAAGTCACTTCAAATTGAAAAAGCCCTTACGCCGCCGTGTGCAAAAAGGGGTGTGACAGACTTATTTTAGCATGATTTAGTACTATTAAATTATGATAATTTTCATCATGACTTATTAATTTGGAGCATTTATTTTATACGATTTTATTATTATTTTTGTTGAATATTTTATTATTATCACTCATCTTGTATTTTGTGTTATTTTCTTGAAGGAATACCTTAGATAGTTATATTTTGATTGGACCAAAGAAATATTTGAAGTACAAGTTAATTATATGTTTACACATTTACTTGTCGAAAAAAATTCAAAAATCCAAAAAACCTAAGGTTTATTAAATAAACTAGTCAGGGACACATGCGTTGCACGTGTGAGCTATGATAAGTAATATCATTCTATGTGAATTTTTTTCTTGTAAATCTGTGTTTTAATGATTGGTGAATTGTTATTGATGTAGTAGAAGCGTACATTGTGTTTATTATTCTTTTGATGATTACATGAGGTATTAGTGATGTTGTATAGTGAAAAAGATTTGATGCATTTAATAATAATTAGTAACAAAAACATGTAGTTAATATGAAGTGTTTAAACAGAAGTACGAAAATACGGTTATTTGTTAATAATACTAATATTTAAACATTATAATAGAATATAATGTTAATAAAGCTTATAATAGTAATGAAAGAAATATTTTGAAAATGATCCTAACGCATTGTAGAGTGTGGGTTGTTGAAGAATCCATTATGCTTGTATAGGTTTACTTGCGTCTTCTAAACCTGTGATTTGAAGCAATGTAAACGAATGACTAAGACTTTAATAACCCATTCTGTTGCATATTTCTTCAACTTGCGAATTGGTAGACACTGGTTCTCGGGCTCTTCTAGACTTGTCATTGTATTGTTGTAGTATCTAGGATGTACTAATACAATATATATTTGTGACGTAAATGCTATTTGTTTTTATATAATTAGTGTTCTTTTGGTCTAATAATAAAGATGATCAAGAATGTAATATTCACGAAACATAAACTATTTTTCTTTTTAAATTTTAAAAGCGAGCAACTTCAACTAACAATAGTATAAATATCACATTAATTGAAGCAAGCTCCAGGGTGGAGAAATAATACCTATTCTTGTGTTCCCAATAGCAAGAAACCCGCTAACATTATTAGAACATGAAGAGATGATAAATGTAGATTCAAATAGAAGTAAATCAATATTAATGTAACAAGTTACTATAACGAAAATATTGCAAATGTATAGAATTCAAAATGGAAAAGTCCTTGGTGGACAATCTGTTTGCATGTTATGATAATAACTTTATTCTATAATATCTTAACTGGACGCAAATATTGTGTTTTCGTACAAAATATTTCAAAAAATCGTTGTCCACAAAATTACTTATAGGAAAATATTTATGTCCTATCAAACATGCTGGATCATTTCTGGTACTTTTGTTGATGATCTTAATACTATTGAAGCTGGCTGGCAGGAAAATAGTATTTGCAAACTCATCTAGTTAAAACATCGATGATCAATGAAGTGTATGATTGTTGCTAAGCTAAGTTGTGACATCAAACTAACCATATTACAGCTAATAATTAGTACAAAATTCAGTGTAAACAGAGATTTGGTACATTACATGTGCACACAAATCTTGAAAATAAAATAAGACAGCATGACATAATTTACTGTAATTAAAACGACAGATAAAAGAAGATATTTTAAAAAGATCTGCAGAAAATTGAGAAATATTCTATTTGGATGACCCATAACTGACTCATAGCTCAATTTTTTGTGCAAAAATCAATAAATAATTCCCTCACATAGACTAATGCTTATTATTGTAAATTTTATTTCCTTTATTCTTCACTTCTTTAGTAAGTGAAACATGTACAATCTTACGCAAATTCATGTTATTTACTTTCAAGTTGCAGAGTAGGAAATTACCTTGGATCTAAAAGAAACTCCTTCGGAATATAATTCATTCCTACTCTCAAATCTGTTGCAGCACCAAGTTCAATTATTTTGAATGCGCGAGAACCTGCTTCAGCGAGACATTAATTACAACTTACAAGTAGGCAATCAAACTCAACCTTTGTGAATAAGGTGAACACTTTATTTTTCAAATAATATGTATATCCATACGCCTATGCAGTTTATGACAGAGCACTTTTTTTATATGATGCAGGCTTGGCTTCCAAGTGAAACTACAGTAAAATTGCACTGGTATAGGAAAGAGGAATTGTTGAACTTGAGAGGAAATGGAATTGGAAAGCTTGAGGAGTGGGACAGGGTTTATGACTATGCTTATTACAATACCTTGGAGAACCTAAAAAGGGTTCAACTTATGTCAGGCCAATCCTAGGAGGATCTACAAAGTATCCTTATCCGCATAATATAGTGGGGTATGCAAAACTAAAAGCTATCAAGTAAAAGTAATCGTAATGTGCGAGTTCATATAAGACCATGTAAAAGCTATCAATTAAACTCGCAATGTGCTAGGAAGCTAAAGATGTACATATATTTGCAATTAGCAGCAAAACATAGCAAAACCAAAGCATTAACGTCAGCAAAAGTAGATTAACCTTTACAAAGCGACCTCGCCTATTGTCCCCTACAACAAAGTTAAACACTTGCAGTGTTTTAAAACCACAAACAACATTTAACAAAAATGAATGATTAAAAGTAAAAAAACGGCACAGAATGATGTGGACTACTTGACTGGAAATTTATTTCCAAATGATATTCTATTATATGTTGTGCCCGTCTGTGGTCCTTATAATGCATTACAGTCGTACAAATATCGTGTGAAGTTGGTGCCTAAGTCCAAAAGAACACCGAAACAGTCGGGATTTCTATCAATGAAGTGTTCAGTGATTGCTGAATTCCAATTATCATCTAACATGGCTCGAAAGAATGAATTTTCGCCAGCAAACTCTAAGGTTGTGGCTGTAGTTTCGAAGATTCTGCCACCAACATTGAGTTTCACCCTACCATTCGGAGTTCCCATCGTTCAAAAGTACCCAACAAATACTAAAATGAAGTTGAAATTGTGCTTAAAATGTATGGTACATAAAGACCTTCAAAAGGCATCAGTTGTCAGTCTATCAATTCCCAAAGAAAGCATACTAAGAGTTTTTTAGTGTCTGTTTAGTTTTTCCATAATTTATTTTCCCCATCTTTTCAAATATTAGGAATGTAAAGGGATGTCTCAAATTATTGGTATCAAAGTAAGAGCTAAAGGCTATACATTTACGGGGATGATATACTCGATTTTGGGGCAACCATTGAGGTTCATACCCGCAGTACACAAAAAATGGTGAAAGACTTTACTAAGTGGTAGCACGAAGAGTCTGTCAATGAAGTGATACTTTTGCTGCAGTATGCATACGATTCTGGCTTATATACATGCTGCTTCACTAGAACCATTTTTTAATTTCCTTGGATTTTATTTTCTTGACAATTTTTCTCCTTTGCAGCGGCCAAGACAGCCATGAATTTGTTTAGTCACATGGCTGAGGCTACGAGCAGAGAGAATTGAAGTGTTACACACTACAGCAACTTGCAGTGGCAGCTGTGTTAGGACCGGAAATAAGCAGGTGTAAATGCGGAAGCTAGCAAAGCAAACCTCGAAAGACCACGAGTAAGAAGACAACGAGAAATATACCAAAAGACACAGAGATTTAACATGGTTCGGTCGATCGAACTACGTCCACAAATGAGATGAACAATCCACTATAAATATGAGAGTACAAAATACAGAGGGAAACAACCTCAACCAATTGACTCGGAATACATGGGAGGTTCACACAAGTAATAACGTATCAAACTTGTGACCCATAAATTCTCCCCCTAACCAAAACTCTCAAAGCCCTTAAGACTACATTGTGAATGCTGATTAAGTTAGAAGGAACATTCCTCTATTTATAGAGTCCTAAACCTTTTCCTACAAGAAAATTATTAGTCAATCCAAAACCTTTTCCTAAAAGGAAAACCTATTTATGGTAAGAAATCAAGGCAAATAAAACCCAACAAATCTCCCCCTTGGCCTGAATTTCTGACAAAATAAATTTATCCACCTTCTTCACTTAATCTTCAACAACTTGTTTCTCCTCTCCATAATCTCCTTTGCAAAATTTATGTCTCAACACAGAGAACCTCTCTGAAATAATTTCTCCAACAAAATCTTCATTACTGTAAAAAAGATTGCGGCTAAAACTACACCCATCAAGATGAACACCTCTTTCTAACCTGGTTCAATCATCGATTATCGAACCACTGAACATGACTCCATCATTGAATCTGGCTCTGATACCACTTGTTAGGACCGAAAATAAGCAGGTGTAAACGCGGAAGCTAGCAAAGCAAACCTCGAAAGACCACGAGTAAGAAGACAACGAGAAATATACCAAAAGACACAAAGATTTAACGTGGTTCGGTCTATCGACCTACGTCCACAAAGGAGATGAGCAATCCACTATAAATATGAGAGTACAAAATACAGAGGGAAACAACCTCAACCAATTAACTCGGAATACATGGGAGGTTCACACAAGTGATAACGTATCATGCTTGTGACCCATAAATTCTCTCCCTAACCAAAACTCTCAAAGCCGTTAAGACTACATTGTGAATGTTGATTAAGTGAGAAGGAACATTTCTCTATTTATAGAGTCCTAAACCTTTTCCTGCAAGAAAAGTATTAGTCAATCCAAAACATTTTCCTAAAAGGAAAACCTATTTATGGTAAGAAATCAGGGCAAATAAAACCCAACAAGCTGCTCATGTCTTACTTGTTCCTTGTGAAAGGTCATGCAGCTTCAAGAAAATTCTCATTAACTTCACTAAAAGTTATCAAGTAAAAGTAATTGTAATGTGCGAGTTCATATAAAAGCTATCAATTAAACTCGCAATGAGCTAGGAAGCTAAGGGTGTACATATACTTGCAATTAGCAGCAAAACAGAGCAAAACCAAAACATTAACGTCAGCAAAAGTAGATTAACCTTAACAAAGCGACCTCGTCTATTGTTCCCTACAGCAAAGTTAAACACCTGCAGTGTTTAAAAATCACAAACAACATTTAACAAAAGTGAATGATTAAAAGTTAAAAAAAG